AGCACACGGACGCTTATGGAAAGCCTGCCTACACCTGCATGGTACCACTGGAAACTCAGCAAGTAAGTTTATTCTGTTTTACAGAAGAAACATTATCTTAAAACTTAAGAAAAGGAAAGTGTTTTTAGCATTTCAAGTTGCCGCATATTATTTTTTTTTTTTTATAACTAGATGATCCATCTTAGTACTACCTGTAATTGTTTTTGACAGGAAAAGCCCAATTTCACATTCAAAAAAAATCACATTGCATCCTGAAGAGTTTGAAGGTAAAGAATTGTTGTTTTACTTCCAACTGCACAAAAGGAGACCTATAGCGTATAGCCTATTTGGCATAATTTTAGACAAAACTTCACTTGTACCAAAAGAGAATTTTGGGTCAGCTTGTTTACAACATATAAAGACAAGATTTATACTAAGATATCATTGCCTATAGAAAAACATGCAAAACTGCAGCAGTACAAGTAGTGATAGAAGGCTCAACACAGGATAAGAGAGGGAGAAAACCCTAGATTTTTAAACTTAATCCATGAGGAGAACTTACAGCTGCTTCAAGTAACTTTACAGTATAACCTACCAACTTCACATTCGAGAAAACTTCGGCACTAATAGAAAGTGTTTGTAGACTGTTTGCAAGACCTGGATTTCATTCTCGCATTTCACTATGACTTAAAATTGCTCTGACAGGAACTTTCTTCCTTCGCTTCCATTTTCCTCATACATAACAGGGCTGTAGCTATACTTTCTTGGTAAGCATCTTAGGAGGCTTAATAAGAAGTCACTATCAAGAGTCTGGAATCATTAGTTAGGCAACCACAAGTAGCTTTAGGGTTTTACTAGTATATCCTTCCTCATTGAATCCTTCCAATGGCTGGGGACTTTGAGACTAGTTCTTAGTGGTCATTTTCATGTATTTACTCTACATTAAAGCAGAGAAACTTCACCTGCATGGCAGTAACAGGTCAGTATTCTTCTCCTACCATTCCGCAATATAATCTTTGCTTATCCAAGATGCTCACATTCTATAGGATCAAAAATACAAAACAGAGGTAACATTCTCGGTTACATGTAGCGAGCACTGAATGGCAGGTTTCTCTTAACAGATTCTGTGATTTGAATGACATCTATTAAATTGAACTTACCAAAGAGACGTCAAATAATTGATCTAAGTTGCAGGTAAATAAAAAACACTGATGTTGGTAGCTCGTGTATCTATCCTGAAGCATCTGAAATGAGTACAATACGGCCCTGTTAAACAGATACCTCCAGTGTCGTTGTGTCTACCTAGTCTTAATAATGGATAGCCTCAAAGTGGAAAGCTGAAAAAACTTTCTCAAACTATAACCCCTGATGTGAGAGTATGAACAGCACCAACATTCAGAGGACAAAATACAGCTCCTCCCCACCCACCTCCCAAGAGTAAACAACTCAGACTATGTTACACAAACACATAACCCACGACAAAATATAAGACCTGATCTAGAACAATAAAGAGTTGTCTATCTTCTGGACATGTAAGTGAAAGCATCACAAAATTAAATAGCCAAAAAATACCATTAATGATTTTTATTTCTTGTCTATCTCCAGCCTTCATGGTGAAGCAACATGCCACATGCAATTTACTGCTTTTGATTTTTCTCATGCAAATCTCCCCAGAACCACTAAGGTTTTATCTTATTCAAAACAATTGGAAGAAATTCAATCTGAGAAAGGGAAAGTTAGTATAAGACGCATGTATTTTATGCCTTCAACACAAACTTAGGAGATAAGACATCACAACGTACATTTAAAGAAATTAACTTGAGCAGTATCTTGTAATTTCAATCTACAGCATTTCTAATATGTAACTCCCCTGAAATAGCTACAGCAGAGCCCACAACACATTCATGTGATAACTGTAATACATCTATGTCAGTCTCCAGACACTTTCAGTTAGTTAACTACTGATTTTGTTATGATCAGTTCTGTCTCTTAAAACAAATTAAACAGCGTGAGATCAGAGGTCCAGTTTGATAGTACCCTGTTCTGACAGCAGTCAGCAAAAAACCCAAGGGACAGACTGAAACACAGGCATCTTGTGAAACTGACATGCAAACAGAATTAGTCTGGCTCTAGCCAAACAAATGGAACCCAACAGATGTGTATCATCCCCAGGCTTTTTGGTATTTTCTACGAAATTGATAAATTTGTCAAGTATCACTATCTTTTGCAAGCAGTATAGAGTCAATCTCCCTCCTCCATTCACTGCATTTACCTATGTGTTCACTAGCATTTGTCTTCATTGTCATGTCCACTAATACGACTAGTACTGACATGAGGTGAACTTATTTATATCTTGCCAGCTCTCTCCTGAAAATCTTCTAAAAATTGGGATGATATCAGCCCCTTTTCAGGCCTATGGCAAGAAAGCAGTTTTATGCATACTTCAAGCTACAAACTGCCATAAGCATCTATTTCATTACTACATCTCTTATCTCCAAATCCCCAAGACACATCCTTCTTTCCCTGCCATACACACTTCCAAACTTCACTATCTTAGCTTTCTAATATTAAGCATAAATTACTCCACAGTTTTAAATAAGGTGGATACGATTTAGCTTGAGACAGTTGAGTTGAATTTTATTACCTATTGAAGAAATACAGGCTTGTCTCTTTGCTTTTAACATGGTGGCAAAGGCAAACTAGCTCTCAAAGATGTAAAAAGATACAGATGCAGATTACATAGAGGTCAGTGGCACAGGAAGAAGCAGCAAAGACACTGAACAATTGGACTGGTATACTGAGAAAGACCAAGTGAAGAAACTAAAACTGACAGAAGGAAGACAAATGAAGTTTGAAGATACTCTTTAAGGACTCTCCTGCAATCTGTGCCCTTCTCTATGCATGCTTTATATTCTATAGCAATGAATAAATTAATTTATCATTTAATTTCTGATGAATGGTCAAAGAAAAGAGATTTATCTAAAAATGTTCAGTTTCTTTGAGTGCGTTTAAGACTGACCACAACCATTATAAAGCCATTAGGTTTTCAAGCAAATCACAAAACCAAAAACCCCAGTCTTGTCCTCCCTTCCCTCCAGCCCATTTACGAGCTGGATGCAGGTGTCTGAATTACACTTGTTGGTGTGTACGCAAGAGAGCACGGCCACATTGTGGCTCGGTTACACTACACAAGTAGTTAAACCGTGGTATGCATATTGCACAGGACTGAATAAACACTTCATTAGCGGTTTTTTATTCACCTGAGAAGCAAGAGAACTTAGGTAATATGAAGGTTTTGAACAAGTATTTTTTATGTAATTATATTTACTATTTCTATTTTAAAAAAACTTTATATCCTGGAACACTTGTAGAAACGCTGTATTTTATATTAAATACAAAGATTGCTTTTAGCTTAAGAGTAAGCAATAGTTGAT